GAACCAGTTTGAAGCCCTGAATAATATCCTTGGGGGCCCTCTCTTTTTTTTACCATAAAGCCAAGTATAAAAGGTCTTATTAAGCGTCAACCCTTAGGATTATGGGAGCTGTAGCAATGTACCATATAATTGCAGGGCAGCATGACATTGTACTACAAGGATTGGCAGATCTATGACACTGGCCTTCAGGGAAAGAGATGCAAGAGTCATAATTATTGACCTGCTACTGACCGGCTGTGTTCTTGGAGCAAGACTTTGAGATTCTGTTTTGTTACTTACAATGGGACTGCAGTCATCTCTCAGCTCACCCTGTAAGCCTTAGGTACTTAATTATTGCAAGGTAGTTTAAACAAATAGAGTATGCAATGAAAACACTAACCCTCTCGCATTGGTGCCCTCTGGTCTCACTCCCTGTCCCAGACAAGGACTCTGTAGCATGAACCACTGGTCACTTGAACAGCACTCACACCCGGAAAAGCAGCTCACACCTTAGCCCTTTTTGAAACCCTGGTCTGTGGAGACTTCTCTAGTCCCATCTATCACTAACCATCCTTTCTTCCACCCAGTTTATGCAGTGTCCTCTGTCAGGCAGTGTGTGTGGCACTGGAGAAACACACTGTCATTTCTATACTTGTCTCTCCTACTGCATTTTAAATTTCTTACTGTGGCACACACACTGCCTGGCATATCGTAGGTGCTCAGTGAATATTTGCTAACTGACTTTTTAACCTCCTTTGAGGTGAGGGATGATGATATATTGATTTCTGCTTCTCCCTAACACAGTGCTCGGTATGTATATTTGGTTCTCAGTAAAAGCTTGTAAACTAATAAATGATTCTAAAAGTCTAGGATGTATCTATTGCCAATAAAATCAGAGTCTCCCTTCATCTTAAAGAAGACCTAGAAGTAAACCAATTATCTTCAATAGTTACATATATTTACTTTCAAAAACCAACTACTTAGGAATATTGCCAAGGATAACTGAATTTAAAAAATAATTTAAATATTCAGAGACCTATTCTTTGTTGAGCTATATTTATGAAAACAATGTTCACTTAAAGAGATTACTAATTTTTTCCCCTAGTGTGCACTTTCTTTTTGGGTAAAGATGTTTTTAATATAAGTAACTGCCACAGAGTGCATCTTTTTTATTGTGAGGTAGTTGCCTATTATAAGCCAAACTAAGGAATTATAACCTATAAGGAAGGGTAATGATTTACCAGATGGAGTGTTTCTTAGGGAACCGATAATAGGTAACATTTGAGGCTGAGTACTTATGGTTTCAAAACAAGGGATTTATTATATATCTCATAAATATGAAACCTTCCTAACGAATTCACTTTGTGAGAAGCAAAAGCTCATACTGCCTGGAAACAGTTGCTAATGTCCTCAATTAACAGGGTCCTTGGTGGTAATTTCTGTACCAGCTAAAGAAAACACTCCATGTATGAGCCAAGCCTTAGGTCGTATGATGGCTCTCCCATCTCACAAGTTTACTCAAATGTAATTGGTTAAGTGAAAAAGAAACAGAACAAGTAGTCCTCAAATCTAAAAAAAAAAAAAAAAAAGATTAAAACAACCCTCTTTGACTATTAGTACCTAAATCCCAGGCTGACTCGACATACCACAGATTTCAAAAAATTATGAAGAATTTAAACCGTGCCCTTTTCCAAGTACATTTCCAACCCCTTCTCTTTTAGACTTTATGACGTCTGAGACACGAATCAGCCTTACAGATGGGTCTTTGTACGTCCGCTGAGGTACCTCTTAGACTCTCCTGAGTTCTTGGCCCCCCGTCTGTCTCCCCCACTTCAGTGAGTGCTCCTCCGGGGTTTAGCACATAGTGAATGACATGGAAATACCATCTTTTTGAAGAAAAATTGTGCCACCTCAGTTTTCACAAGACGTTTAACAAGAATGTCAAATGTTTATTATTTCTTAGAATATAGAAACTATCTTACGTTTATAAAGTACATCATGTTAGGGTCCATCAAAAAGCAAGTATTTGCCAAATGTTAACCTAGATTTATTTCCATTCTCTTTCCCAGCTGATTTCTAGTCTCTGATTGTATTATATATTTCTCCTTCAAGTTACGTGATCACACGCTCACCTCTGAAATGATTGTTTTGTTCTCCTAAGGTGTAAATCCTAAGAATGTGTCCCTGATAGCCAGTAGAAAAGACGTGAACTCATACACTTGGAATAATCGGTTATTTCCTAAGTCATTGGCACCCACTGGGGCAGAATTTGCTTTCAAAAGGAGTAATGCAGGTAAAGCAAGAATACATTTCAAATATAAATTTACATTTTCTTCTCCTACAGATTATAACTCTTAAATATAACGCAGCTGCCTTCTTCCAACTGGAATACATGTACCCCTGGGGTACACATAAAGATTTTCCAACTAGTACTTGAGCACAGACAGTTTTAAGGGAATCATTTGCCAGATCCTCAACTTTTATATGGATTCTTTCCTAAACCCGACCTGCCTGAGAAAGGTGTCTGTATTCATGCTGTCCTCCTCCCACTTGACAAAGGCAAAAGACCAAAAGACAAGACTACTTCGCACTGCAGACTAAGGTGCACTTCCAGCTCCCCCTGGGGTGAAAATACCTGAGGTGCCAATCAAAAGACAGTTTGATATATTGATGTCAATGTAGAGAAAGTAACTGATGACTGGGTAACCAATCCTTTTTTAAGTCAGGTGGTTTCCAGTTCTTAGCTTTCAAAAAATTGAAAGGGGACCTAGTTGAGCTGTTAGCTGACAGATAATTAAGAAGCATTTTTTTATGGTAAGTCATCTCTCTGATTTTTAGCCTTTAACTTAAGAGGGCTTCAAAGAATTTAGTGGCAATGCTGTATCAAAACCTTTCGTTCCCAACTATTTATCTATGCTGACAAAGTTTCTCAGTGCTTCCATCTGTAAAGATGAAAAAATTTTAAAATGGGAGGAAGGAAGGAAAAGTAGAATTGATGCTGAACCCTAGCAATAAGCTGAACTTCTAGCAATAAGTAATAATCATTTCTGGATACAAGAATCACTTGAAAAATAGTCCCATCCTTCTCATAAGAGATTTTTCAGAAAAATAACTAATTTTTTACATTTAATAAGCATGATTTATAATATTTACCTTGTTTGATTAATTGTATACAAAGAATTATTATAATTACAGCTATATCCAGAAAACAGTGTTGTAATATACTTACGGTTACAGGAAATTTTTTAAAAATAATTTTAATTTGTACACATTTGGGGGGATCAATTTATAAACTTTCAAGCCTAAAAATATATTTTGATTAAGTTTGGGGGAATATGAATGAAAATTCAATCGTAAGGAAAAAAAGGATTAATGTAAAATTTCTGACTGTTAAAAAGGAACTTGTTCATGTATTTAAAATCAATACCAATGAGCATAAAATCACCATGGTATTTGGATTCTACTGGTTATATTGAAAGGAAAGATGTCATCGTTTTATTTTTAGATGCCAATAATTACAATATGCCAGAATTTACCTCCTTTGCAACTGCTAAACTTAGGATGAAGAACTTTAGAAATAAACTTAAAAATGTGCTAAGAGGAACAGAATTCTTTTTTTTTTAAAGTAGGTGATATTGTGTCAGAGAAGTTCAAAGATCACTTGTAGCAAGTGAGTAGTCTACGGAGGTATTCTAATGTGACATCGACCCACTCTGGGCTCTTCACAGGTTTGCCAGACCCTTTAAAGACAGCCGTATCCACTTAATAGTGCTGAGATGTCCTGCGCTACAGCACTGAAACGTCCTCATTTTTACTCTGCTGTTTTAAAATAATTTTCACTCTGAACCAACTGATTATACAAATAATTTTAAATGATAGCACTACAGCTTTGAGTATCAGGGGACATATACAGTTGGCATCAAATTAAAGCTATGACAGACACATGGGAACATTTCTCATTTTAAGGGGTCTTTCTGTATCTCTCCATGAATCATCTAATCCATTTTTTCTTTGCTTTTCCTAAAACAATCTCCTGATTATTCCCTCTTTCCTTCCATCTACCTTCTCTTTAGAAGAAAGCATAATTAAACCAATTGAAAAACTATCATGCAATGAGAATTTTCCCGACAAGTTAGAGGACCCACAAGGTAATTTCTGGGCGTTAATTTGTTAGCTGAATCTCTTGTCCGATTTTCTTTTCTGCATTTTCCCCTAAGCCCATCGTAAAAGGCCACCATGATGGCCAAGGTCACCTGGTTTAGAAAGCAGATCAGGACTGGGAAGAACACACACATTCCATGTCTTCAGGAACCTCTTCAGTAGTAGTGGGGATTCTAGGACTGATTCTCTCCCCAAAAAGCTCTATGCTTGTCTTCTTAAATTAATTATGGCAATGTAGGGAATCTAAGCAAATAAGTCCACTGGAAAAAAAAAATTAAAATAATTATTTCTAATTTTATAATCAGTATTCCTGGAAGAGGGGAGCCCTGGTGGCGCAGTGGTTAAGCACTCAGCTGCTAACCCAAAGGTTGGTGGTTCGAACCCACCAGCTACCCTGTGGGAGAAAGATGTGGCAGTCTCCTTCCATAAAGATTACAGCCTTGGAAACCCTATGGGGCAGTTCTACTCTGTCCTATAGTGTCGCTATGAGTCAGAATCAACTCTATGATAGTGTTTGTTTGTTTATTCCTGGAATATTTTTAAAAGAGTTCTGAAAATCATTCCTTAAATGTCAATCATTTAAAAGAAAAAATGATGAATCCTAGGGGCACAGTGTTACTGGTTTAAACAGTGCTAACCACTGGCTCCGACCTAAAAATTTGCATCTCACAAGGCACTTCAGATAGTAAGACAAGCCAAAATAATTTAAGAAGACGTAATTTTCCATTCGCTTTTTGTCTTCGTGCCTTCTTTCTCCAATAGGAAGAAGCATCGAAGAACTGCTCAATGCGTGGCTTGTAGTCTGACATCACTCTATCACTCACTAGCCTTGTAATTTTGACACAAGTCATTTAAGCTTCCTAAGTCAGTCTTCCCATCATGAAATGGAGAAATAATATTTACCTACCTAGTCAGAATCGAGTCAATGGTAACTAACATTACTGTATCACCATACTTAGGGTTTTCTCACACAGTAAGCACACAGGAAGTGTTTGCTCTGATGATGAGGATGGGCACGAGAGAGATGTTCTGACACTGCTATGGAATGTGATTACTGCCTTGAACTTCCTTTCAAAAAGTTTTTTGAAGTAAAGGACCGATTTGTGATGTAGAATGAGTATCCAAGGTGAAAAGAAAGGACGAATTTGGCCGCTGGGCTGATGCAAACTTCAGCAGTGTTACAGATGGTGGAGGCAGAGAACATGGACTTCCTGTGTGAGATCCTTGGTTGTCAGCTGCCGTGGCATCGGCATCCCTTAGGTTCTCATAAATAGTGGGGTTAGGCGTTGGTTGATTCGAGAGCAAACACTTGGTGAGCGTCCACTCTGCACAGCACCACGACAGACACCAGGGATGCAGAGCTCAGGGGCCAGGCAGTGAGCAGAGAACACTATGTCAGCAGTAGCTGCCAGATGAACTGTTTTTTGAAACCACCATGGAGATCAGAGCCCTGCTTTCCCTTCTAGCTAACAAACAACTCGTCTCCTTTCCTGCGTAGCAAGGCTCCTTGAAAGAGAAATTAATACTCATTCACTTCCTCTTGTCACCTGCTGTTTGCTCCTCATTCCACTGAAGCAGCCCCCGCCAGGTCCTAACATTCTCCTGATGGCCACCTGTGCTGGGCAGTGCCCATCCACTTCCCTGCAGACCTTTCTCCTCGCTTGGCACTCCTTTCTTCACACTGTATTACTTGAATCTTCACACTCTGCTATTCCTACGGTCTACCTGTCTATTCTCTCTTCTTCACACAGTCCTGTTCTTTGCTTGCTGTTACTGCCGGTGTTCTTGGGGCTCTATTCTGGGTCTTTGGACATTCCATGGACCCTCTGAGCTGGCTCCTCCATGCCCATAGCTCTATGCCCACCGTACCCTGATAATTACAGATCCTTAGCCTGCTTCCCAGACTTCACCATTTGAATATCCCATAGGCACCCGGCCTTGGCCCACACCTGACGCCCCTCCTGGGTTGCTTTCTTTAGATAACACACCAGTCACCCAAGCAAGTGTCTTAAGTTTGCTAGTGCTGCTGTAACAGAAATACCACAAGTGGGTGGCTTTAAAGAACAGAAATCTGTTTTCTCACAGAAGCTAGAAATCTGAATTCAGAGTGTGGCTCTAGGGGGAGGTCCTTCTTTATCTATTCCAGCTTCTAGTCGTCGGCAATCCTTAGAGTTCCTGTATTCATCAAATAACCTGCGTGTACATCTCTGTCTGTGATGCTCTTTTTATAATTCAGAAGTGACTAGGTTTAGGTATGACCTCAACTGACTCATTCATTACTTTACAGTAGATTACATTATGGATGGTGATTACATTGCATTCAATTAGATTGCATCCACAGGTGTAGGGGTTGGGATTCCAACACGTATTTTGAGGAGACCCAATTCAACCCATAACAGCATGAAACTTAGGGGTTTACAGTCCTCCTTTTCCCTTACCACCCCCCACCCTGTAAACTCATTCCTCTCTTGTTTCATCCATAGCAGTGACCTCCTGACCAGTATCCTGACTTTAGAGTTCCCTCCAACCCACCCCCAAGCTTCTCTCTGATTAATCATTCAATAGTAATGATGACGATGATGATGACAGCTGACATTCATTGAATACCAGATGCTATGCTGCATGCTTTGCATATGTATTTCATTCAATCCCTACAACAACCCTATGAGAACAGGTGCACTTACTGTAATGATTTTACAAAACAAAGAAAGGCACAGAGAGGGCTTCTGGGAAAGCGGCTTCCTAGTACGAACTACACACTCATGTTAAGAACGGGAGTCATAAAAACATCTGGTGTGTTGAGGGTGAACTTGGCCTTGGGCTCAGAGTCTAACTGGATCACTTACTGAGAACTCAGGCAAGTTACCTGACATCTAAGAGCCACATGATATGAATAATATGCATAAGAGGGTTGTTATATGGACTGAGTAAGAATATCTGTAAAAAGCATAGTCCAGTGCCTGGAATATAGTAGATGCTCAGAAAAATCATGTTTAGAGGTTGTAGGTGCTGTACAATATCCACCTTCTTACTGAAACTTTTTGACACTTCACTAGAAAATCTTGGAAGTTATGCCACTTACAATCAGTCTGGATATATTCCTTCCTTTCTCAAAAAAGAAGTTGGGTCAGCTGGCCAAAGGATCCATTTAGCACCTCTTGGTGCAACAGCTTCAGGTAAGAATACCTTCAGAGACGGTTTTTGAGATACCTGGCCAGAGAGGAGCTATCTCTTTTTCTTTTTTAAGTTTACAAAGTCACTTTTCCTAAGTGGAGACTTTAAATTAGTCTCACCTCATTAGTACAGTTCTACTTGTTTTTGGCAAAATGTTCCATTTTTTTTTTCCCAAAGATGTGGTTTGAGAGTCTAATAGTTATAAGAAGAAAGCCTGTAATTAAGTGCTTTCTCTCTGCCGGGCACTGTGTAAAGGGCTCCATGGGGATTATCCCATTTAATCCTCACGACAATCTGGTGAGGCAGATCTCTCTTTTACAGAGGAGAACACTGATGTTAAAGTAATTTACTTAAAGAAGCCCTGGTGGCACAGTGGTTAAGCACTTGGCTGCTAACCATAGGGTTGGCGGTTCAAACCCACCCAGCAGCTCCATCAGAGAAAAGACCTGGTGATCTGTTCCCATGAAGACTACAACCAAGAAAACCCTATGGGGCAGTTCTGCTCTGTCACATGGGGTCAGTATGAGTTGGAATCAACTCAACGGCACTTCACCACAATTTACTTAAGGTCATGCAGCTGGTAAATGGTGGCGCTGTGATAGAAACTCAGTTTGTCCAATTCCAAAGAGTGTACTTGTTACCCAGTGAGAAGATGTGAGATGTTGCATTTTCAGAATTGCCACCGAGCAGCACCTGGCACACAGTGAAAGCTTAATAAATGTTGACACTCTGCTTATTTATCAATGTACACGTGTTTTCCCTGCAGTTCCAATTTAGAGCACAGAGATAAGCTGTGGTGGGACTCTCACACCATGGATTTTGCTTTGCATATTAGATGGTGAAAGGGTTTGGGCCTCCACCCTCCAGTGGTATGTATGTAACTGGTTTAGACGGGCTCCTCACCAGTGACGCACTTGAAATGGACGGTGATGACTCTCTGCCTGAGCTGGCCGTGTTTGACTGTGAACATGGTCTACATCGTTTTAATCTAAAGTAGATGTTCTTATTAAAGCACCTAAAATCAGCACTAAGGCAGATAATCAGAAGTTTGGTAAGATACTTTAAAAAGTTTACGCCAGAAGTATTCTCACGGCCTATCCTAATCAGGATCTTATATTAAAACCCCTGTTTCGAATTGCCAATCACTAAAGTTCACCCAATTGGAGGTAAAAATATAAAAAGCACTGGAATTCTGTAATTTTTAATTCTTTATCACAGTAACCAGTTGCAACTCCTGGCAACCCCATGTGTGTCAGAGTAGAGCCGTGCTCCACAGGGTTTTCAGTGGCTGATCTTTCAGAAGTAGATCACCAGGCCTTTCTTCCAAGGTGCCTCTGGATGCACTCCCAAACCTCCAACCTTTCAGTTAGCAGCTGAGCATGTTAACCATTTGCACCACCCAGGGATTCTTACCACAGTATAACCGCTTGAATTAACAGTGCTCGGTTACTTTATCTGTGAAAAGAATTGCTTTATTATTCTCTCTGCCGAAACAAAACATATAAGTAAACATTTTATATACAGCAGTGGGTTTTATAAAGCCTCAAATATTTTAAGCCTGGCTCACAGTGAACCACTCACTGTGACTTAGTAGCAATTTTTAATGTAAAAGCAGAAAATCAGAATGTTTCAAGTTATTTTATCTGGGTACCTGCTCTTAGAAATTGAGAGTAGGTATTTTTAAAACTATTTTTGTTAAAACGTTGAAGGCTTGTATGTATTAATTATTATTCTGTCAGATTAGCATGCATATTCCTGTTTTCATTTTTTTTTAAAGGCAATGTTTTCTCATGATTTTTCATCTCTTCATTTACTCTGCTTATCAGCTTTTTCTACAGGTGGTGATAGGAGGAAAGGTAAAAAAAAGAAGTAAATATTAATCACCCTCAAGTGGTAAATGCCTTAGGAACACTGTTGTGTAAGAGATGGGTCTTCTGGTCCTCCCACTTGTGCGACAGTTTCCCACAAGAAAATAAAACCAGGTCATTACCGTATTTACTCAACTATTTTCCCCTCCTCCAGAGTCTCCCTCTCCGTTCTTCTTCCTCACCCTCTTCTTTTGAGACACAAAGTTAAATTATGTTCCTCCTTCCCTATGCAATCGCTCATCCCAGACTTCCTAATACCTCCTCACCTCCTGCTTTGAAAATAACAATTTAGAGGCGTGACCACTTCACGCACAGCTGCCCTTTAGAAGCAGCGGGGCCTGGTTCTACGTGCTGTACGTACATTATTAACTCCTTCAATCCTCCCAAGGACTGTATTCCAGAAGGCTCTTGTGATCTCCATTTTACACAGGTTTTATATCTTACTAAGAGTTATATAGTAGTGGCACCAATTAAATTCATAACTAGAGGCAGACTGCTTTCCTTTGGCAAGCATTTTTTATAAGAGGTTAAATGCCCTTGATGGGACAAATACAGTTTTTAGAAGAAAGGTCCGGCGGGTGGCTGCCCAGCTGGTTTGCGCTGCGCATGGCAGTGGTGTGGGGCGCCGGATGGTCGGATTGAGGAACAAACACCTCCCTGGCCCAGCCGTGAGATCTAGGTCCTTTGCCAGCCTCTAGGTTCTTCACCAAGAGGGCATGAGTCCTAAAACCGTATTATTTCTGGGAGGGGATCCTAAATGCCAACACTACCACCTTCTAAGCCCTTGGCAAAGTGATTCCCTCTTCAAAGATGTTTTTAAAAATACTGGCCTGGATGGTTTCCTTTAAATGCATTTAGGACTTAACCTAGGCTACCTGGAGAGAGCTTCTGTTAGTCCCCAGCCCCTGGCGTCTCCACACCAACAGCCCCTCCCATTACTTAGTCCCTCTCCCTTTCGCCTGTCTGAGTCTCGGGGCCCAGTGCCTTTCTCCCTGCCCCCTCCACCTCTAGCCCCTACACACACTCGCCTACACTCAGGGTACCATTTTGATTTCCGGACCTGAAGTGGGAGCTAGCTAATTTAACAGACTAATGCTTGTTTACATTCCAGTGAGCTATGACTAAGGGGCTGTTGCTGGAAAACATGGTGCATTTCAACGGGCCCTTCTAGACACATCTTCCCTGCCGTTACTGTGTAGCTTTTTAGTGGCTTTAACTTTGAGGATTTCAAGCCCAGTAAGAGTGGAATGCAATAATCTGTCAAACCACCCTGCCCAACCAAACCACAGAACATTAGACAGTGACGGTGGGTCCTCCTTAATCTTTGTTGGCTTTGAACTGAGGTTAGCAGCACATCAGGTCCCACGTGATCTCATAATTTCCTCCTCCACTCCCAGTGTTAACAGTATAAGAAGAAAACAACTGGGAAACCATGCAAGGAAATACGGTATAAAACCAAAAACCAAACACAGTCCCATCAAGTTGATTCCAATTCATAGGACCCTATAGGACACAGTAGGACTCCCCATAGGATTTCCAAGGCTGTAAATCTTTACGGAAGCAGACTGCTGAATTTTTCTCTCATAAAACAGCTGGTGGGTTTGAACCACCCACCTTTCAGTTAGCAGCTGGGCGCTTTAACCACTGCGCCAGTGTTAAATGTACAAGATGGTCCCACTCATTCCATACTGACATTTAGAGTTTAATCCAAGAATGGAAAACCACACAGTGTGAAAAGATATTTTAATCTCAAATGGAAAAAAAACAAATCTCCCTCTTGAGATAGAATACCTATGATATCCAGCTCTCAATTTGAATTGGAGAGGGAGGGACTATAGAAGGCATTCAGGTTCTCTGTAAAATGATTTACTGATTTGTCATTTGAGATGTTTAAGTAATTTTAACTTATAAATAGTTCAGATAAGAAATGTTTAGCAAATTTTAAAATTTTAACAAAGCTTTAGTCAGCTAAATGGATGCATAAATGGCCTTGTGATTAAAGATTTGTGATCCTGGGAATGTTCATCTTTGTGTTTTAAAGGGGTCATGTTATCAAACACAGTTTCCTAGTAAGAAATTAAGTTTCTTGACTTTAAGAAACCATGACTTCATTTTTTAAAAAGAAATTCATCATAGAAGCTCACTTTGTAGCACCATGAAGCCAGAGCTTTACAGGATTCACAATTAAAAATAAATTTTCTGTAGTAATACTGTGAATTTTGAATATCATTTAGATTTAACTCCAATGTGATTTTACAAACTCTCTGACACTATGGGTGTGGCCCATTGAATTTGAACCAAGAGCTTTTCCTTGGTCATCCTTGTTGGTGTTACATCTCTAAATGGTTTTTAAGTGGACTCAGATCAGAAATGTCAGCAATCAGCTGTAACTCAGAAATGTTGGCTCTTTACCTATTGAAAATTCTAATTGGCGTCAGCATAATAAAACTGAAATAAAAAACCTCAAAGACCAGGGTTACTATTTTAAAAATAAATTCAAAAGGTCTACCATAAAATGACAGGATTAAGTACTTAATTTTGAATTTGATCATCAAATGAACAAAATTCTAATTCCTAATTTTGATTTCTTTCAGAATATACCTGGAACACAAAAGCTGGTCGGGGGCAGTTTTCAGGACCTACTTACAATCCTACAGCAAAAAATCTAAACCTTGTGACCCGCGCACAGCCAGTTCACTCCGTGCATGGAAGGACAGACTGGTTGGCCAAGTACGGAGGCCATCAGTAGGAGGCGCTGGCACGGAGCCTGAAGCATTGCCCCACAGTTCGTGCAAGTCACCCACCCTGGGAAATGTCTACAGATGTCTATTTCTACTGAATTCTGGAAGAAGTACGCTACAATGGGTACTTTAAGGAGCAAAAATCATCTCCCATTTTCTTTCCTAGCAATGCAATGCATTTTCTTAGCATCATTGCTCACATGCTGATATATGGGTAGGACTTTACAAAGTATTGAATAAACTATTTGCCAAAGTATCAAGTATTTGATCTACAAATTAATAGATAGTAAATATAATAAGAAGCTATTTTTAAAAAATGACTCCAGAAACTGGTTAGTGTTTGTTCATTTGTTGTATACTTGTCTAAATTACTTAATATGTCATCGTTTTGCAGTGATTGGCCTCAGAGGTTTTGTTTTTTCATAGCAACTAGGTAGACCTCTGTGGGCTATCAGTTCTGGTTCCTATTTGGCGAAGCCTCTACCACTTTGGCAGTGGCACAAAGATTGTAATTTATCATTTGTTTCTACTTTGAAACCATGGAAGCAATGGTAATTCCAGTCTTGGGCAGGATATCTTTCTTAGAAATAAATTTATCTTTAACATCGAGAATACCAAAATTATGCATGTGATTTTAGTGGAGAAAGAGTCTGTTGTTTGCCTTGACCAGTACAACTGCTGTTAACTCCTGATGACTATAAAATCCAGTGGCTTGATTACCTCAGAATTAACCAAGGAAAGTTTCTCTCATCTTCACATCAAGAAAGTTCTTGAAACTGTGCAAGACATTTGTTCAGACTTTCAAAATACTTACATGTTCCTACCAGACAAAAGACAAGGTGTGCAAGCTGATCCCCCAAAGCAAACTCTTGCTGCTGCAGGTCACTGACTGCCCTGACCTTGACGTTGGCTGAGAGCAGATGTGTTCAGTTGCAATGGCAGTGATTTCACTTAGGACTTTTTTTTTTTTTTTCCTTTATTTCTAGATTGGTATTTAAAGTATAGACACTTTGAATTAGGGCTACTCTGTTTAAACCTGCCATTTTATGGACTGGACATTAGTACTGTATATTCTTTTTAAAGAAGAATAATGTTATCAACTGCTGATATTTTTATGTATTGTATGACTTCGTAACAAATGCTAATGGAATTGGTGTCATCTCATGAGCATTACCCAAAGGCACATTATAAATAATAATAGTATGGTATTTTGGCTACAGAAGTTTCCACTCGCCTTGTTGAACAATGTTAAAATCTAAAGAGTAATTTATTTCGATGGTAATGTGCCACCGATTTAATCTTTATGGCTATGTGTATTTGTACAGTTTTAATTAATGTTTCAAAGCAGAAATATTTTTTGTGTTGCTGAGAAACTGAATAGATATTAAAATAAATATGGTTCACTAGTGTGTTTTCTTTAAATTTTTAAACTTTGTATTTATACGCTGAGGGCCCATCATTGTGGATAATATGTCTTTGGTATCAAGCTTACACACAGCTGCTTATCTCGGAGCTGATAATTTATGCTAAGCTAGAAGTGAAGAGTTCCTGTGTTAATTACCCTGCTATAGTATACTGACCTGGACAGGATGAAGGGTAGGAAATATTTTCCACAGAGCTCTATCTTGGTATCCAGCAGTATTTTTTAAATTTGAATTTTTATAAAGAAATCTAAGAAGATAAGGAAACTTTAATTAAGGGAAATTACATTGATTTTTATAAATTATTAGAAAACATGAAAATGACAAGTATTTGACTTTTAATGAAGATATGAAACTAAGGTTTGCTTATACGACCAATATAATTTGTGATAGGAAAGTATACTTGATCTAAGTTGGCATTACAGGAAGTCCCCAGGTTATGAATGTCCAATTTATGGACAACTCATACTTAAGAACGGACTGCCATAGAGCCAATTATATTAAAAATTTGAGTTAAATACAATGGTTCGTACTAACAAACGCACACATTACTTTGTGATGCTCATGAAAACATTGGGCGGTTTGAAAGTGTTTCTTAAGTGTTTCATACGCATAAAAAGGTAAAATATATACTGTATACTAACACAAACATTTGACTGACACTAAATAAAAGAATCATATGTACCTGTTCCGACGTATCTACAAATCAGACTTAAAGACAGTCTTAGGAACAGATCTCGTTCATAACCCAGGGACTTCCCTGTATTCTAAGCTGGGCGTTTTAAAAGTTTGTTTTGTTTTGCCTTGAATTCCCCTAAGAAATGACTAAAATGGCCAGAGCATTTATGTTCAACTTGTAACTTGGATATATGCACATCTAATTGATCACTAAGTCAGCTCTGCCACTTAAGTGTTTCTGAGATGTGCCCTCTGCCTTCACTACCACTATCTTCGTCCAGGTCATCATTACCTCTCACCTAGACTGTATGATGGCCTTTTGCCTAAAATCCCTGACTCTGGTTTCATTCCTCACATATGCAGCTTCCATACCACAGAATTATCTTTCTTAAAATGATGTTCCCCTAGTTCAAAAAGTATGGTTGAACATATGTGTTTCTCTCCCCTCCTCTTCCAAACTCCTCACCGAAATTAGGGAAGAAATATGTAAATAAGATGAGTGGCATCACTGGAAAGCTGGGAAAGGCCATCAACAAGCGAGAACAGGTGAAGACATTCTTTAGGATATGAAGCAGGTGGGCCCAGACTGCTGTTGAAACCTAACAGTGATGAGGACCCTACAGCTCCCCAGAGACAAAAGAAAGAGGACCTCCCAGAGGTGGGAGTGGTTGTCTACTCCGAGGAACAGAGACAGTGGGGGAAGGGCATGGGTATGCATGCGCCCTGGACCCACAAGGTAGGTAAAGTGAAGGGCTACAGAATCAGTGTGCCAGTTCCCTACCCATGGGCCCCTGAATAAAGCCACTAATGGGAGGCCTGCCATGGGAGGCTCCCTGAGGGGGTGTTGGGTCTTACCCAAAGGGAAGTGAAAAGTCCCCTTCCACCTGCCATATGGAGACCTGGTGTCACAGTGGTTAGGCGTTTGTCTGCTAACCAAAAGGTTGGCAGTTTGAATCCACCAGCTGCTCCTTGGAAACCCTATGGGGCAGTTCTACTCTGTCCTATCGGGTCGCTATGAATCGGAATCAACTCCAAGGCAACAGGTTACCTGCCATACACAAGTTGAGTGGTCATCAGTGCCAAGGCCCCGTGACTGGATTTTGTATTCATTTCTGTGAACAGAGATTTCTTTTGTACTACACTTACCACTTTAGATTCTTATCTACAAATACAATAAAAAATCCACAATTGTTTGAGGAAAACCAAACACAGGAAAAGCATCAAACTAAAGCATAGAAGAACTAACCTCATTGAGCAAAGAGTTGGTAAAGGAAACAGAAAAAAACTTTAGAGTAAATATAATTAGTATACTCAGAGAGAATCTACTAGATACAACATCCAGAAATGTAGACCAGGCTGTTCTGAAAACAAATCAGAGTTTTGGGGACAGTCAGTACAGGACAGATAAGGCAGATCATCAAAACAGTAAACTGGAAGATTTTGCTAAACTTTCCTCCAAGTACAGTGTATAAAAGACAAGGAGATGAACTTATTGTAATCATTAAAATAGCTATTCCCTGGTGGTCAAGGGGAGGGGTAGGAAATGGATTTGGAAAATAAAAATGTTTTATATCTAGCAAAAACTGGGAAGCTTAAGGTTCAGCAAAACCCCCAAAAAACAAACACTAGCAAGTACAAATGTAAAATAAGATCGCAAGAAAAAGACCATAATAAATGAATGGGTTAATGAGTAAGTCCTCAATTTATGATCAGAGATTTTCCAACTAGGTAAAAGGAAAAATCCAACTGTTTATATAAGACATACCTACAATGAAATGATACAGAAAAAGATTTCACAATAAAAAGCAATAAATGGGCCCCAAAGAGATACTGTATATGGGTAAAAGGCCCAATCCACCAAAAAGATAGAAATTGTGAATAATTATATTTTGTGCAACGTAGCACTGAAATACATAAATTAAGGCTTCCACTGGCCAAATCAGGGACAAGTTGAACATCAAAATGAATAATTCTAGTAATGGATTATAACATAAAATATTAAAATATACAGTCTATTTAAAAAGTAGATTTTATTAACCCATCTATGCAACAAATATTAAGTTTCTAATTACATGTAGTGTATATGGTAATAACAAAAGAATCTTTTTCCCTGCCTTCAAAAAACACATATTCTACAGGCAGACATTAAATAAACAAGCAAAAAAGTTATATATTTTCAAATTGTGATGAATGCTACTAAGAAAAAGAACAGGATATTATAAGTCACATTAAAAGGAGGGATATATATGTAGTGAGAAGCCACTGAATGGTTTAAATCTAGGAGTCTGATTATACTTGAAATATGTCTCTGCCTGCTGGTAGAAAATCAGTTGTAGGGCTAAAGTATGGAATCCTATTAGAAGATATTGAAATAACCCAGGTAAAAAATGGTGGGGCTTGGGTACTAGCAATGGTATAGGAGAGAATGATTATGGCTGTTCATCAGAAAGCAATTGATTTTTGGTGTCGATCTTGTTTCCTGCTGCTTTATAGAACTTTCTCATTAGTTCTAATAGGTTTTTAGTTGATTGTCTTGTATTTTCTAAATAGACAATTATATCAGCTGTCAAAAAATAAAGTTTAATGTCTTTCCTTTTCCCTATTAATTTATATCATATATTTGTCTTTTTTTTAATTTTTATTTTTGGTGAAAATATACAAAACAGAATGTACACCCATTCAACAATTTCCACACGTACAGTTCAGTGACATTGGTTACATTCTTCACATTGTGTCACCATTCTATCTCTATCCATATTGTTTATCTGTCTTATTTTATTGCTTTGCCTAGTGCCTCCAGAACAATATTGAATCTTAGTAGTGATGGCAAATAAATCCATAAGACTTGATAAATGATAGCTGACAAAAACCTAAGGCAAGTACACCCTCTCCTCACTTATTGACATAGT